GGAGGAAGGAAGGAAGGAAGGAAGGAAGGAAGGAAGGAAGGAAGGAAAGGACTCTCCTAGAGGAAAGGACACCTTAATAATTCCTCTTCTCCTTTTTTCTTCTTCTTCTCTTTGCTTGTTTTCTTCTAGGGTGACAGAGAATCTGCAAGAAATCACAGGCACTTTTATACTTTCCTTCCAGTCCATTGGAGCTATTATTCTTCTCATGTTCTCTTTCTTATGTATCCTCCCAGGAAAAAACAGGGTAGGGGTGGGGGGGCAGTAGTAGCTGATGGTGATAACTATATAACCAATCAAAAGCATTTATTAGTTTATTTTCTCTGCTTATACCTGTTTGTTTGTTTTTTGTTCAAACTTGGCAACTTTCAGATGTGTGAACTTCAATTCCCAGAATTCTCCAGGCTGCCTGTTGGGGAGTTCTGGGAGTTGAAGTCCATACATTTAAAGTTGTCAAACCATTTCCCCCCACCCCCACCCCCAATGGGTTTAAACAACATAGCACTCCCAGCCTCACCAACACTGGCACGGCAAGCCATTTTATATAAACAGGAAGCAAACCCTACACTCACTTGCATGGATGGCGTTACCTAGCTGGGTCATGAAGCGTTTTGACTCCTTTGTCTCCCATCCCCCTCCTAGAGGTTGAATTTTAGGAGTTGAGTCGATTTCTGACCCTGCCCTAGTCAGTTTCATGGAAAATCCCCACTTCCTTTTCCCTGCTTGGATCCACAGTCTCCACTTCCTCTTAGATGGGTGTTCCCACATTTGAAAGAGGCTCAAGGCCAGCTTCGAAACTCAAGGCCTTTCTCCTCCCACCCTTCTAAGACCCCGAGAATTGCTTTTTTCCCCTTTTTCTTTCCTTGACTCCTGCGTCTTTCGGCTTCCAGTCATGTCTTCTGTGGTGCTGTGTGACATGTTCCATGAAGCGGATCAGAAACATTTTGGGGACCTTTTCAAAACCATCTTCACCCTTTTTCAGCTTTTCACTTTGGATGACTGGTCGATTATTTATCTCACGTGCCACGCTGCAGGTAGAGAGAAGTCAGGATCTGTTAAAATCCGGGGTTGGGAATCTCATCCATTGGGGAATTAAATCTCCTGCCAAAGGGCTGCCTTGCTTCCCCAAGTCTGCTATCCTTGGCTCCGGCTCCTGGCTTTACAGCAGTCCTCAACTTATGACCACCATGGAGCCCAAACTTTCCGTTGCTAAGCGAGACATTCGTTAAATGAGTTTTGCCCCATTTTGCGACCTTTCTTGCCAACAGTGGTTAAGTTGAACCCTTGCAATTCTTAGTAACAGTTGTTAAGCGAATCCGCATTGACTTTGCTTGTCAGAAGTTTGCAAATGAGGATCACATGACACACACCCCCGGGACACTCCAACCGTCATAAATATGAGACAGTGGCCAAGCACTCTGAATTTTGATCATCATGTGACTCTGGGGATGCTGCAAGGGTCATAAGTGTGAAAAATGGTCATGTCACTTTTTCCAGTGCTGCCACTAAATGAACTGTTGTAAGTCGACAACTAGCTGTACTGTGTTTTTATTCCTTGCAAGTTGTCTGGAGGTGCTAGAGAACGAGTAGGCAGCCACATAAAATTCATTTCATGGATGGATGGATGGATGGATGGATGGATGGATGGATGGATGGATGATAGATAGATGATAGATGATAGATAGATGATAGAGATATATGATAGATTATAGATAGATAGACAGAAAGAGATTATAGATAGAGATAATATAAATAGATGATAGACAGAATAAAGGATAAATGGATGGATGGTGATAGATATATATCTGATAGATGATAGACATGGATGGATGTAAAGATAGATATATGAGATAGATGATAGAGAGACATAGACAGACTGACAGACAGAGATGATAGATAAAGATAATATAAATAGATGATAGACAGACGGATGGATGATGATAGATATATAAGTTAATAGACATGGATGAATGGATGGATGGATGTAGAGATAGATATATAAGACAGATGATAGACATTGACAGACAGATGATAGAGATAATATAAATAGATGATAGACATAGATGATGGATGGGTGGATAATGATAGATATATAAGATAATAGACATGGATGGATGTAGAGATAGATATATAAGACAGATGATAGACATAGATAGATAGATAGACAGACAAGACAGATGATAGAGATAATATAAATAGATGATAGACATAGATGGATAGATGGGTGGGTGGGTGGATGATGATAGACATATAAGATGATAGGCAGACATGGATGGATGGATGTAGAGATAGATTAGATGATAGACATAGATAGATGATGGATGTATGGTATAGATATACAAGATAGATGATAGACAGACAGGGATGGATGGATGATAGATGATAGATATAGATAGATATATAAGATAGATGAGAAAGAGAGAGATGAGGGGGGCAGTAACTGGGCGTCCTGCAGATGACCTGTTATCTGGAATATCCCTCTACACCATGTTCCCTTTCTTCCTTCTAGGTGCTTGGTACATTATTATTTTTCTCATCATCTATATCCTTGTGGAGTATTTTTTGCTTCTCAAGTAAGTATGGCCCAGGGAGGCCCATCCAAGTGTTCAAAGGGAATACAGGTGGGCTGTTGAGGAATTAAAAAACAAACCAACAACCTGTGACCCGTCTTTGAAACAGCTCCCAAATTCAGGTTATTTTCACCCAGCCGTAGCCTTGACTCTTTGTGGCTTGATCCGAATAGAAAAGCAGAAAAGGAGGATAAAGGTGGGAAAGGCTTATATAGCAGAAGGGTATCTGGGGAGGAGTTAGTGAAAAAGGATCTAAAACTACAGGTAGTCCTTGACTTACAACTGTTCGCTTAGTGGCCATTCAAAGTTACCACGGCACTGAAAAAAGTGACTTACAACTGTTTTTCACACTTACAACCATTCCCATCGCCATGTGATCAAAATTAAGACGCTTGACAACTGGCTCATATTTATGATGGTGGCAGCGTGTCCCGGAGTCACGCAATCCCCTTTTGCGACCTTCTGACAAGCAAAGCCAGTGGAGGAGCCAGATTCACTTAATGACTGTGTTACTACATTAACCACCACAGTAATCTTTGTAGCATCCCCATGGTAAGGTGATCGAAATTCAGACAGTGGCCAACCGACTCAGACTTACGACCCGCTGCTGTGTCCCGGGGGGTCATGTGATCTCCTTCTGCCCCCTCAATGGGGCAGCCGGTTTCATTTAACAACCGTGTGACTAATGTAACGACTGCAGTGATTCACTTAACAACCGTGGCAAGAAAGCAACAGAAATTGCGGGGGTAAGTCGAGGACTACCTGTATCTAAAAGTAGCTTTTTTTCTTTTCTTTTTAGGAAACAGAAGTTTAATTCTATTTATTTATGTCTTTTAACATGGGGTCAATTTACTAGGTGCTTAGGGGTCAGTATTATGGCACACCCCCAAATCTCTCTTACAGCCTGGTGATTGCAGTCCTGGTGGACAACTTCCAGATGTCCCTCCTCAAACGTCAAGAGAAGAAGAAACTGAAGGTCTGGAATTTTTGGGGTGGGGTGGGGGGGGAGGGAGGAGAATAATTGCCTATTTGGAAGAAGATGTTCTATATTTAAAACAGTGAGATGTGTGGATCTATTGGGGATGACGGTAAGTGTAGTCTATTGGCCATGGTATTGAAGAATATTGAGGTGGTCTAATTCTAAAGCCATACAATATATCATGAATTTATTTTCTTTCAATGCTTTAGTATAGAATAATATATTAATGTAGTAGTAGAAAATCAGAAGTAAGCTTTTCCTTTTCTTTGATTGCTGCACTCTTTCCTTCCTTTCTTCCTTTCTCTTTCTTTCACCTTTTTCTTTCTTTCCTTCCTTCACCTTTTTCTTTCCTCCTTTTTCTTTCTTTCATCTTTTTTTAACCTTTCTTTCTTTCTTTTACCTTTTTTTCCTTTCTCTTTCTTTACCTTTCTTTCTTTCTTTCTTTCTTTCTTTCATTTATTTATTTATTTATTTATTTATTTATTTCTCCTTTCATTCCCTTACCTCTTTTTTCTTTTCTTTCTTCCTTCCTTCCTTCCTTCCTTCCTTCCTTCCTTCCTTTATCCTTCTTTTACTTCTTTTTTTTCTTTTTCTTCCTTCCTTCCTTTCACATTTTTTTCTTCCTTACTCCTTCTCTCATCTTCGTTTTCTTTCGTCATTCTAAATATTAGTGCTGGTTAGTTTTTATTCTGTACTCAAAATTCTAATAAAGTTTATTAAACATGAAGATTAAGGCAGCCTAACTGCCGTGCTAGTTGGGAAGATGGTGGAGATTATTTTTGATCAACCAGCTGGACTCATTTGGCTTGAGCTCAGCTCTAATCCAAGCTGCGAGGTTGTCTTTTCAGAGTAGACCAGAAGCAAGAATCTTCTTCGTCTTTTCCTGCCATTGCTGACTTAGTCTCTTCACTCTTGAATTAGCAAAAAACAATCCTGTTGAAGGACAGCACCGCGGAAGATAATCCAGTCAAGCAAGCAGGTGATGGTCAGATTGGGGTGGGTGCGGTGGAGAGGGTTCAAACTTGAAGAAACAAAGAAGATTTGACAGGACTGAAGCCTGGCCCATTGCTGGTCCTACATGGGCAGGTGAAGGCCGGTTCCGTGCATCAGTGAAAATTCTGACTTGGGGAATTCTGGGAATGGAAGTCCACCCATCTTAAAGATGTCAGAGTTGGGAAACCCTGCCTTACAATACAGGTACTCCTTGACTTACGGCCATATAAGTGATTGCTTGAGCAGGGTCCACAGGATTGTCTGGGACACTACACATCCTGAAGGGGGCTTCGTGGTATCATCTATATTCAGTCACAGTTTTGTTCCATACAAAATAGCATCCCCTTTGTTAACTCTCAAGTTTCCGCTATGTATTCAAAATGGACAGTGATTAATATATATGTTTGTGGCCATAGAGGTGTGTGTGTGTGTTGTGTATACATCATACACACACACACACATGTATACAGCATGTGTATATGTGTGTTATGTATGTGTATGGATAGATATATACGGTATACGAAACTCCTTGCTAAACTGGGCCCCTTTTCTTATCTGTGTTTGATACAGAGAAGACCAAGTTGAAAGAACTGGAAGAAGAAAACCTATTTAGGAAGACGGTGATGGAAAAATATGGTAGCCTTGTGCTGTCTGACAAGTGAGAATTAAAACCAGATATCAGAATAGCAGAATAACAGAGTTGGAAGGGACCTTGGAGGTCGTCTAGTCCAACCCCCTGCTCAAGCAGGACACCCTGCACCATTCCAGACAAATGGCTATCCAAACTCTTCTTAAAAAACCTCCAGTCCCACAACTTCTGGAGGCGACTCATTCCGCTAATTAATTGTTCTCACTGTCAGGAAATTTCTTCTTAATCGTAGCTTGGGTCTCTTTTTGATATATTTCCATCTATTACTTCTTGTCTTGCCTTCTGGTACTTCGGAGAAAAAATTGACACCCCCCCCCTTCTCTGTGAAAGCCCCTCACAGCAGGAGATGTAGTTCCCACAAGCTAATAAATAAACATCAACAAATAAGTAAACAGACAAACATGTTTTAAACTTTTTGCCTCTTTCAGAGAATGGCAGCTTCTATACAATTACTTCCAGATAATGACATCTATTGAGAACAGTCAACAGCAGTTCCAGTCACAAGCTTCTACCACTGACAAGATCTTGGACACGTTTTTCGAGGTATCGATTAAAAAAATCAGCTGGATTCTCTCTGTCCCCCAAAAAGCTGCCATCCCCTAATCAAATTAATATCCTCTTTTTAAAAGATTTCTATCCTATTTTATCCTATCCTATCTATTCTTCATTTCATTCCATTCTATTCTATTCTGCATTCTATTCTATTCTTTAATTCTTAGTTCTATTCTATTCTTTCATTCTTTATTCTATTCTCCATTTCATTCTA